TTTAACATTCTCATCCTAAAGAATCATGTTACTCTTAATACACCAAAATAAAAATATTTTAATTGACTATTGAATGTTTCTGAAATTACACTAGCTATGATATTGGCTATTTAATGTAAGCATGGTGATGAGCTTTTGGGATGAGACTGGTTGTAATAACAAACAGAATACTTTCTTTCAGCAACCTTCAATCTCAATGTACTCGATTTTCAGTAATCTGAGCAGCTTCAGAATGTATACATTTTCCAAATATGTTATCAGGACTGCCTTTGTAATTTCTGCTCTGACTACCTCAGGACTTTTTGGACTTCTGACCTCCCACCTGCAGAGCTTATTAGTCTGGAGCAAAGATCGAACTTCGTCTTAAATAGAATTTAAGCAAACAAAAAGCATAGGAAAACTCTTAATAGCTGAAACATTTCTACTAGTTTCACTCCTCAGGGCAACAACTCCAAGTTCTGGAACTTCAACCGAAGACCAGCTGGAGAAGTGTGATGCTGTCAACGCTTCTTCTTGGAGGATATAGCCAGAGTTGATGGGAAATAGCCTGGCAAAATGACATCACAAATGACAGCTCAGTATCCATACTAAATTCAGTGAACCTCAAATGAAAGACACAATGGTGTTCTTCGACCTCTACTTGGTGAGCTATTTAAGAGGTGAAGAGTTGTGAAAAAAAATGCAAGGGAACTTGTAGCATTCATTATACACGGAAACTCATTGTAATGAAATTGCTTACAGTTTTTCCGATATCAGTTACACTAATCTCTTGCTCAGCTGAGAAATGGGTTAAAAAAATATTCTAATAACAGTAAATCAGATAAGGCGTGGGTGTAAAGGAATATAGTTACTCTGGGTAATAAACTAAGCCTGTTACAGAGATTTTTTTAGCATTGACAGATTTCTACCATCCTCTGTATCACAACAACAGAAGACACACCAAAAGCTCTCTGTGCTAGACTACCAACAAGTACAAAATCATTTGGAAGTGTATTAGACACACATGGACATATTTGTGCTGCTGATCTGTCTGGATGGGCCCCAAAAAAGCCAGTTGCTTTATGTAGGTCAGCCAGAGTATAGAGCTTCACATGACAAAAAAAAGCCACAATACAGGCAAAAAGCAGGTGGGTATTTTGACCTTTCTTCTTTATTGGCCTTTGTCCTATTTTTGAGCTTACTTTACTGCTGTGATTTTTTTTTCTTCTTTGGATTTTAATTAAACTCTCCTTAGGCTTGCTAGCTTGACATTTTCTTCTTTTATTTTTTTTCAATTTAAGAATGACGGAAGCCTGTTTACCAGGCCAGTTTTCCCCAAATCTCACTGCTTTATCTATAATTTAAATGTGTCATTAATGCACAATATCCAAATAAAACTTTGTGAATTTTAATCAGGTGGGTAAAACGAGCTTTCCAATTATTTTGAAGCTGATTATCACACATTATGTAACATACACATGGTTTTCACAGCTGTGCAGTAATAGAAAAATCTTAGTTTGCATCTAAGCCTAGCAGTATTTAGCTCTGAACCAGATCATATTGAAAGTGTTTGACGTTGGCTGCCAGGTGAGAACTGGGTCCCTACTAAAATTCAAAAGACATTTTGCTGCTGCTTTCCTTGCGGCCAAGATTTCAACTTGTCACAGACTGCAAATAAGAATATCTTTTCTCTTTGCTTTTCCAATTTTCTTCTCCCACACAAATCAATCTTATACTCATTCAACTTTATTAGATTTACTCTGAAATCATACTGCTGCAACTGAGAACAGAATCAGACCCAGGAATGCACTTCGCCTTCAAAATAATTAGTTGCATACTGTACAGTCCCTCATTTCTGTCCAGCTATATGTGCTGTCCAGAGAACCTATATACTGAATTTCCACAAGTTGTGCAATGGAGTCCTTTAGTTTTATATCAAGGACTAACCTGATTAAAGAGAGCCTTATAAAGGTAAAGCACCACGCTTGGATAATTCATGTGCATAGAATCCACATACAGACCCGAAATTATTGACCAGGCAGAGTAAGTTTTTCTGATCATCACACTGTGCAGTTTTTTAAAATAAAGTGCTATTTGCTTATGGCTAAACCTTCTATGTGGCTATTGCATGCACGCTTCAGGCTGCACTGTCAAAAACAGGAACACCTTCACCAAAAAAGGATGGAGCCTAAGCACTAGGGAAATGACAGGTTTGGTTGTTGTTTGTTTTTCTTTTCATTTTATTTTGCGTTCCAACAGAACTTTTGTCAAACATAGAGCACGTGAACACACAACAGTTTCCTTCACTGTTCCCCACACAGAGCTGTTTATAGAGAAGAACTACTAAGGAGGAATGTTTCTAAAGTCATAGACAGCTTCTCCATTTATATCAGGTTTTGTTTTGTGGTTTGTTTCTCTTTTTTTGTTTGTTTTTCTTTTGTTTAATATTAGGACAAAACATTAGAAGAAAAACTTTTTTTAAGCAGTGTGAGTATCAAATAGTATCCCTCAATCCCTGAATCATGCTATTCAAAGTGCTTAAACCTACACTAAAAATAGAACAGAAAAGTACTCCCCATGTGGCTAAGGAAACACCTACCGATCGTCTAAATATGACTGCAGTCAGATAGTTACATCCTGTGTTTGTTCCACATCCCAATCTTTACCCCAGGGCATGTGAGGGAGAGGGAAAGGGGAAAAAATAATGCATTGCTTTCAGAGAATACTGGGGTATTTGGCACCCAGATGAATGAAGGAGAATGCCATCAGTACCTGACAGGTGTCTGTAAGAGCAAATAAATAACAGCTTTCTTACACTTTGAAAATAACCAAATGTGCAAAGCTCTCTTCAAATTTTATCTGGCCTGGCAGCTTCATTTCCATTTTGTGGATGTTTGGCACATGTCCACAGGGAGACACCATAAGAAAGAACAGATTGTAGAAAAGGACTTGAGCAAATTGTCAGAGTAATAAACATTTTTAAGCAAATAAAAATTAGTGCACATCCCAAAGCTCTATTAGCTTGTTATGCAGATACTGAGATTTCTTGATTTTCACAACAGGAACATAGTCATTTCCTCTCACACTGTCAGTTCTGGATTACTCCCACAAACATCCCCCAAACTGCAGTTTACCTGCTCTCTACCCATCACTTCTCATTAAGAAGACCAAAATATTATAAGCTGTAGTTTTCATGTTGTGACAATCAGGATGAACAAACCCCACACACCCATTATATTGGCCAATATCATTCAGTTACCATAAAAATACTTAAAGCTAATCAATTACATAAATAGACTATAAGGTCTGTTTACCAGAATACCAGTTACATTTCTGCCAGGGTAAATCAAACACATGACTATATGACAGTGTGCTGCAACCAGCAACTCTACCCCAGCTCCTCTGCTTCTGCTAGCAGAGACCAGTAGAGAGCTTGGCCTGAATATGTTGTAGAACTACAACACCGTTCCTCTCTCTTTTTAAAACCAGAAAGGACTTTTCCATTATTTAAAACGTAAGTATGAGTAAGATGCTTATTTTGTTTGTCTTAAAGATGTCCAGTTGTAAACATAGTGGTGTTTTTTTCTTCCCTGACAGCCATGGTACACACATTATTTGCAACTCCTCAAAGATAGAATCATACATAAAAAATAAAACTAATTTATTTATTCATTAAAGTGAATAAATTGTTTTTAATACTTCCAGGTCTGATTTAAATATTAATTTTGTATAAATAAAGTTTATTCTGAAAACAATGATATTTGTTGGTATTCATGTCATTTTTTTCTGCCTGAGTTCTTACTGAAATCATGTTGAAATTAATAAAGTATTACTTATTATTACAAGCTAAAACCAAAGGAAAGAAGATTTCTTAATCCTGAATATATCATTTTAAAGCAAATACAGGTTTTGAAACATTAAAATACAAGGGGACTCTGTAATCCACAGCAAAATAATGTTTTGCTCTCGCTTTTTTAGAAAATAACACTTTCTATAATACAAAGTGACAAACCATCTACAATACTGTCTTTTTATTCCCCTTTGGTTTGGAAGTCATCACTGTAAATATCAGCAGGACTCTCTGCACTTCAGTGCCTATTGCCTCACTTGTTTTACTTGCCTGAAAATTGCAAATGATCTTATTTGCAAGATTTTGAAAGAGAAGAAAGAAAAAGTTAAATGCTTAAAAATAAAATCCACAACCACATTAATACTTTTCCAAGAAGTGTTAAAAATAGGGTTTGCTTTTATATTTATAAAAGGGATACAATCAACTCATTCTTAAAATAATAATTAAAACAAAACCCCCAAAAAAACAAACCCAAGATAGCAAAAACCATCTCTAGTTTCTACACACTCTGTAGTGACTACTGTGAAGCAACCGATACAGATTGGGTATATTCTGTTGTTTGACAGGTATCTACCAAGTTACATGTTAGATGATCAGACTGTAGTGTTACCCCAAACGGGGGTCATTGTAAGGGCAGGAAAGAAGCAGTGCACATTATGGGAGTAGAAATGACACTGGAGCTCTCAGTGAGGGATGGGGTCCTTCTAAGAACAAATATTCTCCAAAAGAGGTGAACTGCAGCAGGCATGGCCTTCAGGAATCAGGCTAGGCAGGCCAACAAAATGGATGGTGCTTCTGATATCAACATAGCTTTGTCCAAGCATTCCCAAGAGAGGTTAAAACCAACCAAACAAAAAGTCTAAAACTATACTAATGAAGCAAAAAAGTTTCCTATCTATACAGCAGTCTCTTCATTTAAAAAAATGTAAATATACAAATTCCAATGATATATAAAACAAAGCTGAAAATGTGAATGGGAAGAGACATGGGTAAAACAGGAAGACTGATGCTACAAAGAAATTGCAAAAAACATATGTACAAGACCCTGTTTTTCCTCGTATGTTATCGATTGTAATGCATGTTTAACAGCAGCAGTCGAGGATGTAGTTCCAGGCACCGGACTGCAGACTCAGCTCCTACTCAAGGGGGTTGGCGGCCCCTTGCATTTCGGTCACCAAATGACACTTGATATACTGGTCTCCCGTGGCAAAAGGGGCAGTATCGCACTGTTTGTGTGAGCCTCTTCTGGATTCTGCTCCCTGTTAGTTTTTGTCTGCGGCCGCTGCCCATTTATAAGTGTCATAGGGATGTTGCAGTAGGTATGCTGGTTACCTATTGAGGTAAGTGGCAGGGTGCCGGTAGGAGGTACATCATATTCATAGCTTCGATAATAGTGTTTCTGGCGCATCTGTGAATGATATGTGTTATGAAAGGTGGAGCGCAGGTCTGGATGGGCAGTAGCAAGAGCAGTGGAGGTGGCAGCAGCCATGGAAATTGCGGAGACTGTCTGCAGTTCCCCAAAGGGCCCCTGCTCACTGACATCTAAGACCTGCTCGTGTGTGATGGGTTCAATCCTCTTAAAAGGCATTTCATACTGTAAACGTTTCCAGAACTTGGAATTCAACTTGTTGCATTTTGGTCCGTGCCATTTAATGACAGTGAGGAGCTTGATGGTATGTTTCAGGGCCTCGACCTCCTGGTAGTTCATAACTCCTCGCAGTTCACTGCATTCAATCAGTATCACTTTGATTTCGCCCGTGACTAACATGTTTCGAAGCCTTGTTTCCAGTTCAAAGATGCTCCAGCCTCTTCTTACCACATAATTTGGAGTCATGACGATGATCAGTCGCTTGCTTTGGTCTACACATCTTGCCACGTCTTCAATGTAGGCTACAAAATAAGACAATTGCTCAAAAATCAATCTAAGAAATCACTCCCATAGACTGGGTAGAAACAACAGAGGCAAATCCCTGCTCCCAGAAGAGCTCACAGAAATATGCAAAAACGTCCTTTGCAAACGTGCCAGGTTTGCTTGCCAGGACATGGTCCTGGGCAACCTGCTCTGTGTGGTCCTGTCTGAGCAGGGAGGTTGGACAAGATGACCTCCAGAGGTCCCTTCCAACCTCAACCATTCTGTGATCCTGCGAAACATCTATTCCTCCATGCGCTATGCATTGTGAGTACTTGTTTACGAGCTGTGGTTTTGTATCAATATCTATATCTTTATTAGAACAAGTGAGTCCATCACCATTTTTTTTCTTTAAAAAGGCAGCCACCCAGGTACACAACAGACCAACAACTACGGCTCAGTCAGGGGCTCAGTCTCAAACTCAAACGATACTCTGAGGTGTACTGTGGGATTAGATTCTTTTCCTTTCATGCCCCCACCACACACATGCACAAAATCCTGCAAATTAATGTTTAGTTTGCTGTAGATTTACAAAATATCCATGTGATTGTTTGATGTTGTGCTTTGCCTGTACCAGGCATTCCTTTCCTATCTTTAGTAAAAGATATTGATTTTAGTAGCTTACACTTATACAGTTACACTGAAGTTATGAAGAATACTACAGCAACTTACAAAAAATTACTGTACATAGGTTGGAATATGTGAAAGAAAAATGAAAAAGATCTAGTTGTACTAGCTGGAATCAATTCCAATTTTCAGTCTCTAAGAACGATCCAGTACCTCTGCTACACATTTATCTGCAGTGGACACTAACAGAATTCACTACTTTGCTCTGTTGTAGATGGTATTACTCATCCCTTGCCTTAGTCCAAACAGAAGTTTTTCTTTCCCGTATGAATTTCTGTAATAAGTACTTAGAGTCATGGCTATCTTTCCAGGCAAACTCTAAGGAACAGAAAGCATAGACCTCTGTGTTTGTTCCTAGATATGCAAGCTCTCAAAAACATCTGTGAGAAAATGTTAGTCTCATTTATTTCCTTTACTTATGCATGTCTTTTCTGCAGTGTCTCACCTTCAATCAATATAATACAATAACTAAAAAATAATCCTCTTATCTAGGAAATACACATTAAGCATGTTTGGTGGCTTATCTTCGCCATTCGCTAAGACAAGGGAAGAAAGATGGCATTCTGAAGGAGTAGGTATAGAAACAATACTAATCACTGCATTTGCTATTTAGGAAACACACAAGCATAAAGACATGACTTACTTCCTGTTGGGATCAAATCTCTGTCTGGTATGAACAACTTGTATCCATAATGCTTTTCAAGCATATCTGGTAGGATCTCAAGAGCAAATCTTTCTTCTTCTCCAGTTTCTTGATTCCACTGGTCAGGATCCACTTTGGTATAAGATAGATATGCATCATAGTCTTTGTTGTCTAAGGAAAGACAGAAAGAAAGAAAGTTAGTGTATTAATTATTCTAGCAGACTTCCTAGATAATTCCCCAGAAATTATTTCTGGGATAATTTTCCAGGAACAGGAAATTGTTTAGATAAAATGGCAAGCTTTCACCAAATCTCCAGATATGAATCCATTCTCCCTTCCTGTTTCACATGGTAGAGGTAATATTTATTTACACAGATGAAAGGGAGAAGGGATCTGTATTCAAAGACTGAAGTCAATTTGTTCATAAACAATTGTGTAATTTATGTAAACATAAAAAAATGAAGGAAATCTTCTCAATTGTGGGGTGACAGCTTGTAAGCACAAAACAAAAGAGTTGCTGAAAAGCATTTGAATTCTTCTCTAGCTTTAAAAGGGAAAGAAAAGCATGGAAATACCTAAGCTAATGTGCAATTGTCTCTGTTGCATAGCAAAAATATTTCAGTCTTGCCAGATTTTTACAATAAATTTAGGGTCTGGGGCTGAAATGTTCTAAGCATATGTGTAGCTTTGCTTGTAAAACTTATTGGCTTTCCAGGTCTGAAATTACTGTCAAGCTTAAATCTTCATAACATCGGCTCCTGATAACGCAGTTGAAATCTCTTGAATTCTGTGTGCATATATTTGCAAATTTAACGTTGCATTAATGTACATTTTTTTACTTAATAGTGTGTTATTTCATTCCAATATAAGAAATTTACCCGTTTCTTAAATGTGCTTGATGTGCCTACTTGAAAGACTGAATCAAAAGAGCCATCATTAATTTTCATTAGGAGGTCAATAATGCCAAGTGCTCTGGAACTAATTCAGTGGAATAAGAGGTCACGTTTTGACTTTTGTTGTGAAGAAAGCAGGAAAAAATCAATGGCAAGAGTAATGAAATGTTAACATCCTTCTAACTCTCTTGACAACACTATGCACAGGCTATCAAGAATATCAATTGCTTGTAAAAGAGACCTGATTGAATACTCAACTCTGTGTCATAAATAACATTATATTTAGTCAATGCTGACTTCAGTTACTTTCTGAGCCACTCCTTTCCTCATTTTACACCTTTTTGTACTCTGGTAGCATTATCTGGAGAAGCCTGCCAAATGCAGGATGGGTGCAAAGAGTATAATGAAATTAATGAAACAGTGCTAATCTTTAACATTTTGCATTTCCTTCTGAGGAATCATGCATACTGTGTTATGCTCTGGTTTAATGCCATCTGGCAACCAAACATCACGAAAATTTAAAGTAATAATGATAAAAATAACAACAAAAATAATAATAAAGCATACAAATGAGTGATGTACAGCACAATTGATCACCATCCACTGATTAACACCAAACTGATCTGTGGCTTGTGATCTCAAAGATGAGAAATTCCAAAATTGCAACCCCGGAAGGGATAGAAAGCTTCCCAGTCAACTCTCATCCATATACTGAGCATGATGCTGCATGACGTGGAATATCCCATTGGCCAATTTGGGCCCAAAGCCAAGTGCAAGGTTCTGCACATGGGTCAGGGCAATCCCCAGCACAAATACAGGCTGAGAGGAGAATGGACTGAAAGCAGCCCTGAGGGGAAGGACTTGGGAGTGCTGGTTGATGAGAAGCTCAACATGAGCCGGCAATGTGCGCTTGCAGCCCAGAAAGCCAACCATATCCTGCATCAAAAGCAGTGTGGTCAGTAGGTCAAGGGAGGTGATTCTGTCCCTCTGCTCTTGTGAGATCCTATCTCTGGAGTAATGCGTTCAGCTCTGGGGCTCCCAACATAAGGAGGACATGGAGCTGTTGGAGCAGGTCCAGAGGAGGGCCACTGGAGACTCACATGATGGACTGAGATCATTGCCATGTAGCTCCATTCCTGAGGACAGGGACTCTAGTCAAATGAGACCAAAACTGCCTATCACCAGCAGTACCCTCAAGGGGGCCACTTCTCAGTGCATAAGTAGTATGTCATCATGGATGTTCACCTCCCCTAGTCTTAACCATTGCACACTCAAGGAATTACACTCAAGACTCCATCTGGAGTACTGTGTTCAGCTCTGGGGTTCATTGCAGTGAGTCCAGAGGAGGGCCACGAAGATGATCTGGAGCACCTCTCCTGTGAAGATGGGCTGAGAAAGTCAGAGTTGTTCAGCCTGGAGAAGAGAAGACTGGGGAGACTTTATAGCAGCATTCCAGTACTTGAAGGGGGCCTACAAGAAAGCTGGAGAGGGACTTTTTACAAGGGTGTGTAGTGATAGGACAAGGGGCAATGGATTTAAACTGAAAGAGGGTAAATTTCAATTAGATCTAAGGAAGAAATTCTTCCCTCTGAGGGTGGTGAGGCACTGGAACAGGTTGCCCAGAGAAGTTGTGGATGCCCCATCCCTGGAAGTGTTCAAGGCCAGGCTGGGTGGGGCTTTGAGCAATCTGATCTAGTGAAAGGTAACCCTGGCCATGGCAAGTGGTTTGGAACTAGATGATCTTTGAGGTCCCTTCCAACCCAAACCATTCTATGATCTATGAACAAGAAAAAAAAAGAAAAGAATAATAAGAAAAAGAGAAGCACTGCCTTCTATGGTTTACTCTTTTCATCATTTTCCTTTGGAGATTTTATGAAACCGTGATCCTTAACAATAGAAAAGCTTTTAATGCCTTTGACAATGCATTGAAATAACACTGAATGGATCAAGTATGACGTAAAGGGAGATTACACAGCAGGTTTTTGTTTCTACAGTAGGACAGTTTTAATCCAGGAACCCAGTTAACACAGAAAGGTCAAGAGATATATGGGGAAATTAAGACAACTGAAGAAATGATGATGCAGCCATGTTCTGTTGTCACCCTAGTAATGGTCATAACTATAGTACATGCTCGAGAGCAGTATTGCTCTATTGAAAGTCTGAGTAAAGATGAAAACGTATCATTTCTCAAACGGATAAATAATAAGAATAATGCAGTGTTCAAACTGTTTCAAAGGCTCAGAATATTTTCTGTTAAGATGGTTTGCATGTTCTTTCTTAGAGGGAAAATTATTCAGGCTATATGCCACTGTTTCCTTGCACATGTAAATATTGCACTAATGCATTTACTTGAAATATATACTTTTCATACCATGCAGGCTCCAGCATTTCCACCGACTACAACTGAATTATCCTGTATTGCAGGGAACATTTCCTTACACCCTAGTTCCCTGGTTTTAACAGCATTTGAAGGGAAAGAATGTCCAGGATCTAGAGTATGTCTATACAGATGAGTTCAGGCAATCATGAATTTATTCAAACTCCAGTCCAGCAAGATGTATAGTCTGGTATGGGAAACTGTTAGCTGCATTAGCACAGTGATTTTCCTGAGCTATTATACTCCTCATCTGTCAGGTTTTTTTAACATTGTTTGATGAAAAGTAAAAAGTTCAGTTTACAGCACAATTACCTTATGCGGTAATTTTGTTATCTGATGGGTTGACATACTGGCATGAGTAGACAATTTACAAATTGTGAAATGCCTGGGATACACAGGGGACGATCACATATGCCTTTTTTTACTTCTATGATATTTATGTATTAGCCTGCTTTTAGTTAATTGAAATTTTTTGAGTTATATTGCCAACTACATGAAACATTTTAAGTACAACAGGCAAAGAGCTACATAGCCATCAGAAACATATGTCTTGTGATGTGATAAAAGAGCAATGGCATTATTTACTATTTTCTCTAATTGCTATGAAGAGTCAAAAAATGTAGAATTTCAGTTGGAATGAAAAATGGGAGAACTGGTGAAGCTGTTGAAATCTCCCATCTCCAGGAAAGTGTTTAAACACACAGTAGATAAGGACTTTGCATGTGGTTCTTCTCAGTTAAATAGTCCCACTTACTCCTGCTTGTAAAGAGTGGGACTGATGCCTACATTATGAAGAACATTTCCGATCTTAATTCATGTTTTTTAACATGCTGTCCCAATGGACTGAGAGGGAGAGACAGAAGCCTGCGGACATCCAGATCTTACACCTAAGTCAAACTCTGGGAGCTGGGTCTCGTGTTTTAGCCATGTCACATGGAAGAAGGAGGCTTTCAGCTTTGCTCTCAAGCTCTTCGCTCTCAAGCTATTTTCCATGAAAGCCTTCCTTTGAGCAACACATTCAGGAGTCCCCAGACTCCTAGCAAGCATGCAGGAAGTCTATCACAGTGTTTTGGGTTTTTTGTCATTTACTGGAACATGTATTTTACCCATGAAAATATTTGATGTCAGCATATCAGCATATCTGCCTTTTCCAAGAAAAAACTTCACCAGAAAATTGCTAACCTGCTCCTAATTACAAATCAAGTCATAAAGGACTTGATATTACTACTTATATTACTATGTAGTATGACAATTACAGATTTGGCTACACAATAAGTTCAGATACTGGCTGGATCTAATATTCAGTGTCAGAAAAATAGGGCAAAAATCCAATTCAAAACAAACAAAGCTGGTAGAAAACTAAGCTTTTCTTTAAAAAGAGAATTTCTTCATTTTCTTTCATCAGTAAACAATTAAGTCTTCTATCCAAGCATACTCGGAATGAAAATGTGATTGAGTGTTGCTTGCACTTTGGCTTTAGATATAGATTATGCCATTTCAAAAATTTGTTTTTGTCAGGTTCCTGTGCATTAGCAATAAACTAGAATATAGTTACTCACTACCTGTTTCCTCCCACACTTAGGAAGAAAAATACCTGTGAATAACCAAATGCAGAGATGTTGATCATTTAATCTGGAACTTTTTTCTTTCCTGTGGAGATTGAAAGCAATTATCTACATATACTGTTGTACCTGAAAGCACTCTTATTTCCTTAACCATTTCAGAATTCTTTTTAAAGAAACTTATCAGAATAAGTTCATCTTGCTTTGCCTGCAGTATGCTGCAGAGCTGTATTGTGTAATGGGTGTCCTTTAATTTAGTGAACACAGCTGAGGGTGACATACAATATCATGCAACAGAAATATTTTGAAACATTTTGGTGCAATCAGAGAATCACAGAG